GATCATGACCTGAGCCGAAGGCCGACACTTAACCAACTGAGCACCCAGGCGCCCCAAATCATGTAAACTTCTGGATCTCAAATTCTTTAAATGTAAAATAAGATTGAAGAATTAAAAAATAAGATTAAATGTACTCTGCAGGGTTTTGGGGGTGGGCCGGATTAAAAGAGATAAAGTACATAGAGCACCTGGCACAAAGTCTGACATAGAGAAGAGGCACAATATATATATATTTTTTTTTTCCATGATCTTACACAGATTCTTTAACCCCTGACATTTTACTTCATCTTTAAAAAGTATAAAAACTGTACCTGTAAGCTTCATAGGATTGTTGCAGAGACTGAATGGGATGATACATAAACTATCAACCCAGCTACCAGCACATACTTGGTTTTCATTGTCTTTCCACTCCAGTTCCCTAGATACATACAAAATCTACAGACACCAAAATAATGTAGATCTGAATGTAGAGCAACAGTATCTTGAATCTCCTAAGAAGAATTTAAGGTCTTTGCTACATATTTTCAAGAACCTAACAAAAACTTCTCACTCAAGATGGAAACAGTACTGAGAAAAATCCACGTGTCTATTTCCACTCGATAACTAAGTCCTTCATTTATGGGTGTTGGTTCCATAGACTGTAATTTCTGGGAGGGTCAGGGCCATATCCGGTTTAATTGCCCTTACATCCCCAGTGCCTAACCAGTGGTCTAGAAAATAATAAGTACTCAAAAAACATTTGTTGAACAGGAGTAAAAGTCACTCCAGGCAATGCTCCAGCCAGGATCACACAGAATCAGCAAACTGCAAACTGCCTCCAAAGAAAAAGCCCTTTTGGCCCCTGAGACATTCAGAGCAGAGTCCAGGCCTATGTTCCTACCAACCTGCTGATTACCTGGTCATCTGACCATTAAAATTAGTCTGTTTCTTCAACTTCGCCAGGCCTCGGGCTAGGAACTATTTGCAAGTATTTCGGACATTGTCATCAAATTCACCATATTTCCCCGAAGAGTGCAATCTGAATTAATCAGGTTTTACTAAATCTATTTTTTATGGTTGGATTAACCTTTGAATGAGCACATTAAAGGCAAGTGATAAAGCAGAATAATTTCTTAGAATTGAATCTACATGTAAATTTGATGTTGTAACATTTACACACAAGGTGACAATTTCTGATGCAGTAGAAAGCATTACAAATGTGCTGAAATCAATTCAGCCATTCGGAAAAAGCGACAGTTGCTAGGAAACCACATCCCAAATGAGGAATATTATAGTGGTGACCCAAACAATCACCACATGCTTGACATGACAACAACACAAAGCGTAACAGATTTTTAAAAGCACTCGTGACACTGAATTGTTCCTACCACATTTGCAACTCAGGTGATTAAAGAGTTGGCTTTCCGTGACTTGAAAATTCAACTGTCAGAACAGGAAAACGCAAAATCAAAGTGAGTTAAGAACAACGAGAGATGTTTCCTAGGACTTCCCAAGTCTCCGCTGTGTATTTAGGATGCAGGTGTATCTACGGTACACAGTCATCTAACTTTACTTCATTGAAAGAAGTCCATTCAATTTTTAAAAGAATCTACTTCTCAAGTCTGTAAACTCTATTTCTATGTGTTTGTGCATTCATGGGGAAAAAAGCCTTTTAGAATATGCAACAAAATTTAATATGTGGTTATGGTGTGTTGGTAAATTAAAGGTGATCTTGACTCTCTTCTGTGTGTCAGTTTTCAGAGGTCATTTTACCTTTTGTAGTTTTGGAAAACGAAAAAAATTACTTTGAAGTAATTTTTAAATTTTTATTTGGAGCTAGATATTAGATTTCAAGGCAGCATAACAAACCAAAAACATAAATCCTAACAGTATGGTTAGCATGCAGAGAGCACATTACTCTCTTACATATTGTTCCATCTTGCTATTTTCACATCACTTTTGGTATTATAAGATCCGAGCTTGGGGCGCCTGGGTGGCACAGTCGTTAAGCGTCTGCCTTCGGCTCAGGTCAGGACCCCGGGGTCCTGGGATCGAGCCCCGCATCAGGCTCCCTGCTCGGCAAGAAGCCTGCTTCTCCCTCTTCCACTCCCCCTGCTTGTGTTCCCTCTCTCGCTGTCTCTCTCTGTCAAATAAATAACATCTTAAAAAAAAAAAAAAAAAAGATCCAAGCTACTGGTGTTGGCATACATACATGTCCCAATTAACTCTAAAAGAGATTAA